CATATATCCGGTCGAAATTTGTTTGTGTGCCATACTCTGAAGACCCTGAGTTGTTGGTAGCCGAGTTCTGACTATTACCACTTGTACTATTTAGGGTGACATCGTTGTGACATTGGATATTAGTGTGTGCCACGGTGCGATTTAGCACGTTGTGAGTGCTAATACTATTAACCGTGGGGAGTGTGGGCTTATTTAAGCTGCCACTGTTTTTGTTGGTATGATTTAGGGGCATATTTTCCTTATCTTTACCAATGGAATTATAGCTAGGAGAGGACAAAGTCGAGTTTCGGGGGGTTTTAACTTTTTTTCTGGGGTTATTTAGTGGCATTTTAGATTCTGCGGTGATGGGTGGTATGGTTTTATTATTTATTTGGTTACAGTCTAGTGGCCTTTCGGCTGGTGTTGCACTCTGATGGGACATTTCTGTGTGTTTTGAGAGGGGTGATGCGGTGGGGTCTACTGTATCTTTCACAGGGTTGGGGATAATGGCTTGCTGCAATGTCCTATTACCTATTTCACAATTAGTCTTAGTGAGATAGTTGTGTGCGCGCCTTTCTATAACTGTTTTGTCCACCCCGACCTTTATATGTTTGTAGTTTCTGGCTTGCGATAGGGTGTGTTGGGAGTGAATGAATTTTCTGGTCTCTGCCGGTGTTTCGAACTGAAAACGAATAGGACAACACTTTTCATGTTGACTCTTCTTCAGCCTGTAGCACTTAGTCTTGGAGTTAGGCATTTTCGCTTCACTAAGTAAGATGCGCTGTACCTTTTTTAGTGCCTCATTGTCCGGAACGTTGTAGACAATAGCACTCAGTTTTGCGTCGAGTCGTTTTGTTACTTCTGTGGTAACAAAGTTAATGAGGTTATCTACCTTAGTTACCGATTCTGTGTCAAGCTTGTTAAGGTTTACCGTTTTCATGAGGATAGTTAGAGGTGTCAGTTCACAGACCTGCGATCTGATATCGCTGATCTGATCTGATAATTTGGATATCTCGGTATTGGTTTCGATGTTTCCAGCATTTACTGACTTGCTGTTTTTTATTTCCCTTAACTCAGCCTTAAGTTCTCCTATAGACAACTTTAGAAGTTCTATTTCTGAAGATAGTACTGAAAAAGAGCTTGATGGCTGGAGTTTCTCCATAAGCACATAAGGTGAAGGGAGGAGTTCTGTATGAGCAGAGGGTACCGAATTTTTAGGAGTAGTGCTAATACTGGCTGTCAGTACAGTTTTATTTTCAGTTTCAGCTCGACGCTTACGGCATACACGTGAGTTATGTGACTCACTATAGCCGTTTGTTGGGGGTGTGTTGCTTGATGTAGCAATCAAGGACGTTAAATTAGACACCAGTTTTACAGGGGATTGGGTTCGCTGCTTTTTACTTTGATTAACCATAACTATTAGAAATAAGAGTTAGTGGTTACAAGTATGGAAGTGGTATAGTACTTGTGCAAGTACTACAACAAGATAAATTTTATGTAACGAATCACGTAAAAATGTAACGCAAACGTTGAACGTACCGCGATACAGAGTGCTATATATAAGAATGTCATGATAATTTAGTACACTAAGTCCTGCCAACCGACCTTACCTTCAGTTCATACTACCTACATTGATCCCTAACTATATTTTTCTGCTAAATCTTGCTCCACTATTCACAATACCTATTCTTTTTATTCTTTAAGGTTTTAACTTCTTGTAAAGTAATCTGTTCATTAGGACGCATGCATACATATATAATGTTCATAAAGATGTACGCGGAGACCTATTGGAAGCACTCATTAAGAACCAAGCAATATATTTGCGGTAGCCATAATAATCATAGTCTCAGTGCTTAACATCAAAAAAGGAGGGAGGGTGGCGTTAGCTGATCAGTAGATATGGTGGGGGTCACTAAGGTGAATCGCCCCATTCTGCAGGAACAGCAATATACAAATTAAAGGCTCGAGATATTTCTGATTTTTATGAGGGCTTAGATCTTTATCTTGAAAAAGATAATGAACGCCTTGACAGATCATGCTTCTACCTTTAAATATATACCATTCGCTCAGCCTATTGTTGAGATGCGACCACGCGGGATCTGCACAGATTTATGGGGCATCTTATAAACTAACTTGCTGTCCTTTGTCGGATCTTTAAATACCACTTCACAATGTCTTATCTCATTCATTTTCTAATAACGTCTTTACTTAATCCTCATTATATTCCATTAAACCTAACATTTTATAGCTCTTTATGAATTTGATTCGACTTATTCTATTCCTATTCTCTGTAGGGTACGGTTGTGCACCAAATGCACAAAAAGGCATAAAATAAAAAAAAACCGGCGTGAGGATAAAATGTATTAAAACCAAAAGTGGACATCATGATAGTACGAGATATACGTGTAGCATTGTACATTGCAAATGAACGTTGTCAGCCTAGGGAGTTTCCTTTATTAATGCATTTATTAGTGATACTTGCACTTACTCATTTCATTACACTTTATTGATTCACCTTAGCACTTTTACTTTTCTAAAACAGCTTTCAATCCCTTGTAGAAGTTGTACTTACCTCAATATTGGTTGGTTATCGAATGCCGACAACCACGGGATGAAAACGAAACGAAGTCGATTTTCCCGCTCAACCTGGAGGACAATTGTACAATTCAATAACTATACAGCCTAGTTCAGACAATGTGTATTTATATATATATATCAAATATTTAACAGTTTAGACATTATTAACTTGTAGACGATCTACGATTTGATATTATATCATACTTGATCGTGCCTGTAAAAATGGCATGCATTTTCATGTAAATTTATATGTTTATATGAGAATATATATTATTATTATTATAAATGGTGGCGAGAATATGTAATACAATTTGGACACAACTGAATAATGAAAACAAATCCAAGTAATCAGATGCAATATAAGTGACGAAAAATTTGGGTTGCCCAAGGTTTAAGCTGGCCGCCTTGATCTAATTTTGGACGGGCACTAAATTTTCTACATTACTATCTTTTTTATTATCAGTCGCACTGATGCACCCCTGGTTATTAAGCACTTGAATATTATTCTGGGTTCTGGAGATTTGTCTTCTAACAACTCTGATAATCTTCAGTAGCGTTACGGTTAAGATCCAAATAAAAGGAGTCAATCAGGTAAGGTTTGACTTCGTTGGCTATGAGAAGCACAAGATAGTTGCACTGATAATTACACTAATTATGTAACAGTGTCTGTAGAGGTAACTACTGATTAAAGCTAAGGACGGCAACATGATAAGCACTGATAAAGATGTCAGAATGAGTCAAAACTAGCCCTGGTTAATTTCATTGATGTTTTTTCAGCTGCAAGCGGTTTTTCAATAAAACAGTTTGTATACTTCCACCAAATTAACTTGAAGTAGTTTCCAGAAAGTGTAACCTGTAGGTAGTAAGTGACAAAGATTATTGCCTTGATGTGGATGGCAGCAGAAAAGATACCCGTGTAGCACATCAAAAGTTGGACGACCATGTGGAGTAACAGGGGACTGGGTCAATATGTGTGACGTCAGGCTTACCAATTCCAGGAAACTAGCTAGTTATCTTCCTCGAGGACGACTCAGAACCCGTCTCCGGTCGGATTCAACCAGATATAACTCTCACGATTGCTGTGTGGCCATTTGTCCTACTAGACTTGTTGGATTCTTTTCCTGGCCCGTCTCACCTGATTGGAAGCAATAGGGGCAGGCGACTTTAGTTGTGAACGAAGCAATCGAGAACATGCTGCCCAACAAATATGTCGGAGAAAGTGGAGGCTGATAGAAAACATGCTTTGGAGACTTATGAGTGATATCACGCGTCAGACAGGTCGTCAGGTGAAACCCAAATGAGAAACAATGAGCTGGACGTTGGCCCAAAACTGACATGAAGTGAAAATGAAACCCTATTGTCAGTCCTGCAGCCAGCTAGAAGGAATTACCGAAGATCAGGAACCTAAACCTCACAATCAAGAGGCGAGCACAAAGAAATCAAATTGGTTTATACTAGCTCGTAAAAACGATATTGGATATTGGAGACAAGAGTGAAATGTAGTTCTTTAGAAGCCTATGTTCCAGCGGTAACGTTAGGGAATAGCAATAGGTATTGAGCCTTGTTTTGAATTTGCTATCCAAGCAGCCAACCCATATTTCGCTTGTGAGAATGACATGTTAGATAGAGTGGAAAGGGCGGGCTTAAATCAGTGACAGAAGTACCATACTTCTCGTACTAGAAAGGAGGTATTAAATAAAATTATTCTCACTTTCATCTCGGCTGTTGGGTAGCGACTTCTTTTTAGCATCCAGTATTTTACGTAAAGGTCTATGTGCTAGTTCACCCTGTTTCGTTATGCATTCCCAAGCTGATCACTTGAGATGACGTGCTTTGAGATATGAACCAGTAGAGTTTTCAGTAGCAGGACGTTGTAACAGCACCTCATGTTCCAATATCGTTTTTACGAGCTAGTATAAACCAATTTGATTTCTTTGTGCTCGCTTCTTGATTGTAAGGTATAGTTTCCTGATCTTCGGTAAACTTCTGCCTAGCTCGTTCCGCCACTCGACTGTCGTAGCTTTGGTTGACTCCAAAGGGAGTAGTGCCGGGATTGATTATATGTCGATTAATTCTTTTTTTCTTTTCTTTCCTTCACGTTCCCCAGTGGAACATAGGGTCTCAAGCTAGTGGCTTGAAGTTTCTGTAGCAGTGGTAATTGTTTTTACAGGATGGAGTTGCTAGCCTCATGCCCAACCTTTCCTCTTTACCAGCATCATTTATGGCCTAGCGATGTAAAGGGGTGCGTCAGCCAGGGATCGAACCCTGGACCATGTTCATGGTCGGCGAGGGTCCTAACCGCTGTGCCACCAACTCACCTGTTGATTCATTCAGAGTGAGTAAACCATTATTATACTGCAGATTGAGCAGATTAATAAAGACCTAAGTCTTGGTATTCTTAATCACATGAAAATAGAGAAATGTAAAATGTTAAACTAGATATTGAGCATTGTGCGCTTGTTTGTTTACGTACACCTCAACTGCCTGGGTGTTGATTGCAAGTGAGGAAATCCGAATGTTGTGGTTGTTGAGCTTGCTTTTATTATCTCCTGCATTAAGTCTAAAGAATGTTAACGTAACACGCTCAATACGCATAAGAGGCAGTGTTGTCAGGATAAATCATGATATTTTACTCAGCGAAACCCCCTCCGAGTATCAGTTTGTTGTTGAAGAAAAGGATAATCAACACCTGGCTTTTATCAGCGCATCGGTATGTTGCCTTTTATAGCATCTAAATGTTCTAGCTTGCGGACAGTAAAACGGGAAAAAATATTCCAGTTCAACCAACTTCAGGGAAGCCAAATACATATGTAATAAGTCTCGGGAAACCATCTTCACAACCTTCACGCGTGTTAGTGGATGTTGTGTTAACTGGGGTTTTGGAACCAAGACCTTCTGAAATTCACCAGTCTGAGAAACAGTCAGTTAAATTCAAGGGGAATGTGTACTTTTTCTCACCCTACCCCACCGACAGTCAGCTAACAAATGTTCATTTGCCGAAAGGACAGATTCTAACTCACACTGTAACGTCCAAACAACCGATTGTGAGCGGAAGCAATATTATCTACGGTCCTTTTGAGACACAACCAGCCTTCTCCATGGTAGGTTTCTTATATTTTACTAATAAATACACAGGAGCCTCTTGTTCTGCACTTTGAACATAATGTTCCATTCCTGATAGTTACTGAAATGACTCGCCTCATTGAAGTATCTCACTGGGGGAACATTGCTGTTGAAGAAACGCTTGAAGTTGTGAATATGGGTGCAAAGTTGCGCGGCCCTTTTTCTCGTCTAGATTTTGACTATGGAATAGGTCAGCAGCTAGCTGTCAATTCTCTTAAAACATCTCTTCCGGCATCTGCAAAGGATATTTACTATCGCGATGAAATTGGTAATATAAGCACAAGCACGGTTAGCGATTCTTTGGACTCTGTGGAGGTAACATTAGTCCCACGTTTCCCGTTGATGGGTGGATGGAAAACACGTTATACATTAGGATACAACATTCCAGCCTATGAGTTCCTCTATCGCAGTGGTAAGTTCATGTTGTGTGCTTTATTTCAGCAGTGTTGTAAGCTTGTAATTGCAAATTTCCTCCACAAGGTGATGGTAGTATCAAGTCTAATTTCATTTATGTATGCTATTGAGCATACATGTTCGTCCTATCTTCCGCGTTACGTTGTGTAATAGGGTAAGCAATATTGAGATTAGGTGAGGAGGCGAAGTCTGCTGAGGAGATTCGGAAGCTAAATCGATTGGGATGGTCAGGACACCTCTGTTTTGTCTTCCTTTGTGTCATCCTTCAAGTGTGGCAAATAAAACTGGTGTACTTCCTAAGAAAGTTTTTTGTTGAAAGCAGTTAGTCGACATACATGTTATTTCTAGTCAACCGGAGTTAGGTTTTCAAATAACAGTAGCGATGGGACTTCGTTCTTTGCATCAGTCCTGGCGGTGCATGCCTCTAAAGACTCGATTTTCCTTTTGAAGTAAACTCGAAGAGCTTCCACCCCAGTCCTAATAGGTGCCACTCGTAAGTGGTTTAATCCTCTCTTTGAAAATTTCTTGTGATAATCTTTCAGTGGGAGTAAACAGTCGACAACGGCCCTCAACCTCGTCACTAGTTTAGTGACAACCTGTTACGCTTGTCAAATGAAAAGGTTGTAATTATACACCAGACTTAGATTTTGTCAGACAAGTTGTTACTTCTGTCCAATTCTTAGGTAAAACAGTGAATACCTTGGCGAGATTTTATTGTTGATATCAAGGAGAGTTGTCAGAACGCTGATTCCAGTTATTGATTATTGACTTGTAGTTCCCACTGAAACGGTGCATGAAGAGGACATAATGGATAGTGACAGTGCTCATTTTTTTGTTTCCGAAAGTACCTTTCTGAAGTAATTCAGTGGGTTTTCAGCTTTTTCTTGTGATTCTAGCAATTTCGTATTTTAAATACAAGCAACTGTTTCAAAGCATATTTTGTGTAAAGGTATGATGTGGATTTATGTACTTTTTGGATGGTTTATATAGTCCCGCACATTGCTTTTCATATTTTGTATGCGAGGTTTTGGTCTCTCAGTATCCAAGATGCGTTTCCTTGTCCTTACCTTATCTGACTGCCCTATCAATATGTATAAGAATTATTTTGTTGACTATGGAATATAAGGGTATGTGGCACTTGTAAGTGTTCTCAAGTTCCTTGGGGCTTTCCCATCCATTCTGTCTGTCTGTTTTCGACATAGAACTTTGCACAAATGTGCGGAAGTTCAAGTCGCCACATTCCGTGTAGCACGCGAAGCAAGAGAAGAAAGTACAAGAAAAGCATAATAGAAACAGTGAGCAGAGGTGTGAGACAAAGGAGTAATAAAGAAATACAAAACAGTTTCATTGAAGATCATAAGTCACAGGGAGTGGATGCATCTGCGCCACTGAGAACGATTTTGAGCCATGTCACCAATTGTTTCCAACCATAGATTTTTACCGTCCCGAGGACCCCAGCCTGGAAGTCTACACCTTCCTACGTGGCTTAGACCAACTGTTGTGGATTTCATTGACTGATGCCAAGTTTTTGTTTGACCGCCGCTAGCTTTTTTCCAGCCTGACCCTATATCCGCTAACATTGCTCGTCGAGGGAGGCGATGGCTTGGCATACGTAACACATGTCCTAACCATCTCAGTCTTTGTAGCTTCACGACTTCGTCGATTGATTTCCCCTGTTTACCTAGAACTCTACGCCTAACCTCCATGTTGCTCACCTTATTATGCCACTTTACACGGGAAATAGAACGCAGGCACCTATGATCAAAGACAGCTAGTCTTTTCATGTCTTCCACTCTCAGTGGCCAGGTCTCACAACCATAAAGGAGGACGGAGCGGACTGATGAGCAGTACACCCGCCCTTTGGTCGATAGTCGAACATCTCGTCTACGCCAGAGTCGGCGTAAACTAACAAATGCGAAACGAGCCCCTTGTATTCGTGCTGAGATTTCGTCAGAGATCAGCCCGTTGGGGCTGATGGTACTTCCCAAATAAGTGAAGCGGTCAACGTGCTCTACCACTTCACTTCCTATTTTTAAACTAGGCGTCGATGTAGTCCAGTCCTGTAACATCATCTTGCATTTGGCGGGAGCGAATCGCATGCCAAACATTCGTAGATTGCGGCTCAAGGTGTTTAGAAGACTCTGCATTTCGTCAGCGTCTTCGCCTAGAAGGACTATATCGTCTGCATATTCCAAGTCAACGAGATTATTCCCGGTAGCAAGTCAATCCCTGAGTCGCTGAAGTCACCTAGGGTTAAGTCCATTAACACATCTATGATGAAGTTGAATAGAAAAGGAGATAATGGGCATCCTTGACGGACACCACTGGTCGTCATCAGTTCAGATGACAGCTCGCCGTAAGCCCTCACCTGGCTGTATGAGTACGAGTAGAGTGCCTTAATCAGTGCAATATATTTTCTTGGAATTCCCTTTACAGCCAAGCATCTCCAGAGAACTTCCCGATCGACAGAGTCGAATGCTGCCTTTAGGTCAAGAAATATAATGACTGTTGGACGCCGGTAGGAATGCCTATGTTCTAGAATCTGTCGGAGGGTGAAGATATGATCAATACACCCTCTTCCTGGTCTAAAGCCTGCCTGGCTCTCTCGTGTTTGTGCTTCCCGAGCACCACTCAGTCTACGCATGATTATTGAGCCTAAGACTTTAGATACTATATTAGTCAAGCTAATCCCTCTGTGATTATCACAGGAAGACTTGTCTCCCTTCTTGTATATGGGGATAATCAGTGACTTACACCAACCCGATGGGACTTCTTCTGATTCCCAGACGCTGCCTAGTACCTCAGTTAATCCGGACAGTAAGCTGTCTCCACCGTACTTAAATACCTCTGGCGTCATTCCATCAGGTCCCGCTGCTTTGCCTAGTTTCAGATTGGTGACAGCTTTAGTAACCTCAGTTAGTGACGGAGGACCTGTGTCTATATCCCATTCAGGGAGGTGTTGGATGCTCGGAAGGTTGAGCGTGGCTGTGGGCAAATTAAACTGCTCCTCATAATGCTCTTTCCAACGATCCAGTCGTCTATCCTGTGAGCTAATTATAGTGCCATTTTTTTCCGAGATTGTCTCACTAATGATTTGTCTTCTCCCACCCGTTTCCCTGATGAGTCCAAAGAGTTGCCTGGTGTTGCCTATCCTCAAAGCTTTCTCCATCTCTTTGGCTTTTGTCGCCCACCACTGTTCACGGTCCTTGCGGAGACTTTTCGTAAGTTTCCTCTTGTGCAGCTTTCGCTCCTCATTGAATTCGGAGCTCGCCGGAATAAGTCTTCTAGCATCTATCAGTTCGGATGAGGCGGTGGAGATCCAGTGGTTTTTACTCACCTTTGGGTTTACCTTATTCACAGCTTTTACAGCTGTATCTATGGCTGCCTGGATATTTTTCCAAGCTTCTTCAGGGTGAGCACAGCTGTCGAACACAGATATGTGTTTAGCTAGTTCTTCCTGAAATACGGATTTAGTTTCCTGATCGAGCTGGGGACGTGATGGTTTTACCGCCAGCTGTTTCCTACGTCCGTTCAGTCGTAAGCACACCCGAGCGCGGACCAGTGCATGGTCGGTATCTACGCACGTGTTCCAGAAGGAGCGACAATCTCCTACCGACCCACGCCAACGATAGCTTATTGCTATGTGGTCTATTTGTGTCCAGCGTTGGTTTGATGAAGGGGGTCTCCAAGTCAAACAGTGTCTCTCCTTGTGTTTAAAGTTAGTGCTTACAAGAAACAAATGATTATCAGAGCAGAACTGTAGGAGACGGTCACCGTTGTCGGTTCGCTGGCACGGAGCTCCATAGGTGCCACCGACATCCTTCTCAGATTGACACAATTTCCCTACTTGAGCGTTAAAGTCACCAGCTAGAACGACTATGTCTGAGCGTTTAGCCTTTCCACCAAACTAGACAGCTTTTGGTAGAACTCATCCTTCGTTTCATCTGAACTGCAGTCAGTGGGGGCGTAGGCGGAGATTACGAAAAGGCATCGGCGAGTAGTGCAGTCCTTCCTCCTTCTTACTGATCCGTTCAGGCGGACAGCACACATTCGGCTATCTACCGGGATCCAGTCAAGCAATGTCTTTTCTGCCCTAGTACTCAAAGCTATCCCTACGCCAGCTAATCCTCGTGAACTAGCTGTGGCATCTCCTGACACCCTCAAGGTGAATTTTGCAGATTCAACCTGTTGGCCAGGTGGGGTTAGGTGAATAACCACACTTGGGTCTTGTATGCGTGTTTCTGAAACACAGCATACATCAATGGCTCGTGATGCCAGGGTCTTGGCTAGTGATGCTTGTTGTCCTATTTGGCAAAGTGTCCTAACATTAAGAGCTCCTATATGAAATTGGTGGCGCGGCTTTAAGAGGCTGTCGGTGGTGGTTTTTTGGCTTCCATCGTTTTTAGTGGACGCAGAGTGGAGAGGAAGTGGAGAGCTATCAAGTCGAGGAGTTGCATCAGTGGAAGGAAGGCAAGATGATAGAGATGAAGATGAAGACAAAGATGAGTGAGTAATAGAGAGGTTTCGTGTGCATTTCGGATTGTGAGGGCGATTGTTACTTCCCGGCTGCCCACACCGTGGAAGTTGGTTGCGTGACCGCAGAGCCCAGGGGACAACTGCTTGAGGCCGGTCACACGCGGCCTGTTTTTGTTCGTTCTTTTTTGTTTGGTGTGTCTCAGTAGCAGATTTATCACTCCCGCCCTGTGACACGGCAGCAGGAAGCGCGGTCGTTGTTAATCCGGGCCACGGCCGATCCGGCATGAAATTTTGTAATTTTGTATTGGACATGATGTTGGATTGGGTAGCTGCTTTTTGTTTAACCGCTATCCAAACAACCTGCCTGGCATGGTAGAACCTCAAGAGACATAAGTCTCAGCCAGTATAGCTTGATTAGGTCATTGCGGTGTTCAAGCCCGACCACCACGTCAAGGTAGCAGCTTTCTGTGTTAACAGACAAGCTGATTGAAACTATCACATCTTTAACTACCGATATACCAGTCGCACTAAAATTTCATTTGGTAGGAGGTCGGGACATAAGTGGACTCATTAGTCTCGGATCCGAAAGGCATACAAGTTATTCTCATCAGCATTATGAAGACCGGTGCCATTACTGGAGGTTTGTGCTTATGTGCACTACAGCTCATAAAACAGTCACATAGATAACTTCGTTAGCTTCAAAACTAACAGTGAGAGTATTAGTGGCTCATCTATCAGCTCCCCAATTATTACATATGTTGTTAAGTATAAATCCAACCGTAGTAATTAGTAGAGTGATTATTACTATCTCATATAAGACCTGGTAACTCAATCCACGTTAACCCAATGGTACGTAATTCGGTTGCATTTTAGGGTGCTTAGCAATATACTCTTATGCTGTTCGGATATCGCTCTTATTTTAAGTCGATCTGATTATTCCCTGACTTGGATTTATTGGAGCGCGTGTCGGATTTAATTAACCTACAGACATCTGAGTCGTCTGTCTATACTAACAACTTAGAATCTGAGCTTCGCTATAGTTAAAACAGGTGACTTTTGATGCATAAGAATACAAAAGTATAACAACAATATATATGAAGCAGTTGTCGTTCAAATAAAGACAAACATACCGAACGATTTTAACGTGTAAGATAAAATGTCTAACCTGAGTGTTTATACATTAAGTAGATAGAATAGCAAAGACGTGCAGTTAACCGTAAGTGGTGGATGCTTACACAAAAGTAACTGACAAGTCGAATGACTGTCTAACTGTTAATGCGTGACATTCGACTTACAGTTTTATGCTAGTTATCTGTCGCAATTAACTGTGCTTACCTTAAGATAAATAACTGGGCAACCACCATAACATATTTAAGTATCTTAGAATTCGCTATATTACTGCTTGCTGAAACTCCGGGTATCAAGTTCTGCTCATTTATCATTCACAAGTATTTCAGGCATTTGTTGATTACTGTTATTTTGGGGCCCATCACAGCTCTATACTCGTTTATGTTAGTCACTCTACTGGATTGTCAATCTTTAAAATATTATTAGGAACAATCTTGTATCCATTTGCTTAGCAAATAAAACCTAGCAACATGTTCATCGTAATTTTTGAATCGTTAAATTCTTAGGGGCTCTATCTCATACAGTTACTATAAAAAACTATATTTCCACTGGTGGTCTGTTGAGCCTTGCTAGAAGATTGTTTTTTTTTTAAATTTGTAATATATACCATTGTGAGCTGGTTCTGTTGATTTTATAGGTTGATGCCTACTTAATCTTGTTCACCACATAGTTGACTAATGTTGACTCATAAATCGGTAAATTATTCTTATATTGTGCACTCTTACAAGTAAATTATCCTGACTATTTCTGTATAAAGTTATTTTTTATTTGTCCAAATCTCCTATGTTAGGTTCTCAGTTCGCCCTTGCAATGCGGTTCGTTGATCATGTTTATGAGAATCAAGTGGTTCAAGATCTCACACTAAAAATAGTCCTCCCTGAAACTGTGTCTGATGTTCAGTTTGTTCCTCCTTTCCCCGTTCGTGAACAATATTTTGAGAATATGAAGACGTACTTAGATACTACAGGTCGTACCGTAATTGTGATAAAAGGTGCTAATCTTGTTGAAGAACACATTCAAGATTTTAAGGTAAATGATTTCGTTGATTTAATGTAATATTCTAGGTGGAGTACCGTTTCAGTCTCTTACTGATTCTTCGGGAACCATTGATGCTGATTGTAGCGTTCTTGTGCATCTTCGCTGCCATCATAATTTATGTTCGCTTGGACTTTTCAATCTATAAGGTAATTCCCCGTGGTTTTTCTACTGATTTCATTAATTAACCTCTGAAATCAAAAACCTAGATTCAGATGACCGTAGTACTTATTTGCTATTATATTTGATTGAAGCATTTACAAGAAGTATGCAGCAGTGTGATAACGAAAAGCAGACTGGTCAGGAGTTATTTGCTTTTGAAGTGATATTCGTCATTTCCGTGTTATTCTCAAAAAGTATCTAAAAAAAGTGCTATGCAGTCATGAACTTATATTGACCCATGTGTTATACTGTGTAAAATCAGTGTTACATGATTAACAGGTTCTAACTAGGTGATCTAAGGCAGAATAAGTCTTCTATGGTGTCAAAAGAATAAACAGATAAACAAGAAAATAAGAGTCATTCGATCAAGTTGCACACACCGATACGAGACGAAAAATGTGAGTTATCAGTTAAGATACATCTATTCCAGGATGGTTGGTCCCTAACCATGTATAAAGCATGCTACAATGATTATCGATGTCCACATTGATTTCAGACGGAGAACCTACATTTGCTCATACAAGTTGAACAAATAATCAACAATATCGTTGATTGGCAGATCATTTTGAACTGCTCAACTGTTATTTTTATCTACCTAACCGCAGTATTACCAGAATAACGTGTTTTGTGGAGGCTTATGGTATTCTTTGCCGGATTCGAATGTATACGTGAGACCACTTACATAACGGTCCCTGTAGAGGGTAGGCAGTAAGAGACAACGGTACTTTGATTGGACACTAGTTGTGCCGTGAAATGAGTTACACTGATTCTGCGAGGGCTGTTAATAATACTGATTTGCCCAGATTGAAGTGGGTGGAGTGAGATTCAAACTCAGTACCCATTGGTTGAAAGCTGGGTGCTTAAGCCAATGAGTCACATCACTTGTTAATTGTGACCAGCTGGTATTCGATTTCCAATGAGTGATTAGGCTTTGTAAGTGTCAACAGGTGTCAAAAATGTGTATCACTTAACTCCACTGGACATTCAAGGTGATTTAGAGCTTGTTTGTGGGACTACTACTTGTACCCAGTGTTCATAGTGGCAGGTGCAAAGAAAACTCATCAAACGTAGTTGATTTAACTAGAACTAAGTCATTTTTTACGGTATAGTTTCTTTAATATATCTGAAGTGCAAATGAAGAGTCTTCAGTTGTTAGATATTTTCTTTTTCACACATTGGCTCACTACTTTTATGGGTTGTTCGAGACTTAATTTAGAATAAAGCCGTCTGGTATTTTCAGTTGTATCTTCCGGACTGCTATATGCGTAGGACGGTAGCCATTGAGATTAAAAGACGAATAACCAAATATTCAGGAATTATGATTTAAAAGGCATGCTGAATTACATAAGCGAAGTTAGTCACAGTATACATCTGTCTCTGTCTGTTTTCGACATAGAACTTTTCACAAATGTGCGGAAGTTCAAGTCGCCACACTCCGTGTAACACGCGAAGCAAGAGAAGAAAGTACAAGAAAAGCATACATACGGCACATGTGAATTCTTGACGGGTGCGATAACGTCGTTGTGAGTCCCATTACAGCCAGGTGTAAAGTTTACAATAGGGAGTTGTTGTTATCAGGTGTTGGGCACCGGTATGTTTGTCTGTATTAAACACATCGTTAGTACTAACTGCCATTGTGAAATGGTCATCCCGAGATCAAAGTATTTGTTGCTTGGTTGGGTAAGATGACAGTAAAACAAATAGTTTCCATTATTTCCTTAACAGAAGAGTTTCTCATGCAAAATATGGTGACGATAAGCTTAGCCGTTTTTAATATGCCCTCAACAGTTCGCTTCGACTTTTACTTTGAGAAATGCACTTATATTGGTTTTCTGTCATATAAATTGGAAATATTGTCATAGGGGTTAGAAAATCAGATAAATTTGCGTGCTACCTAGCTTAAGTCCAGAGAATTGTGAGTGTGCTTCGCGTGTCACATGACTGTGCTCATTATGCAGCTGATCTGAACTTGGTTGTTTTGCAACGTTACTCGAAATCTATATATAGTAAGTCTGTTGTTTAGTCTTTTGCATTCAAAATACCTTCGTGGTTTAGTCAGATTTAAATTTTTAACACAGGACGAAAAAAGTGAACTACGCCTTAGAGCGCAAACACTGGTAGACGAAGCTCAAGCCTTACTGAGTCGTCGTTCTTCTCTATATCAGTCTTACGAGGATATTCTATTGAAATACAAGGGATCGAAAAATAGTACACAATTTACAGCTGATCGTCGTAAATTGGAAACGGATCATAAAAGTGTTACCCAGCAGCTGTTATCTGTTCAGAATAAAATGGCTGATCTTTACACGGATGGAGTTGAAAAGGTGAGTTGACCGAGTCATTTTCAACAGCTGCGTTATTATTTTGGTAATAATTGTATATTACTATCCTTTTGTCATACCTGACTAGTAGATACACTTGTCAGTTTGCCGCGTTGTATTTCCTTTCATTGCTGATTAGTGTTAAAAACCGCCTATGGCTGATTTTATCTAGAACATTATTAGGGTATTCGAATATGTAAGATTCAAAATAAATTTCAGTTTTCACTTGACAGTTTTGGCAGCATCTCTCGCCTGTTGATTACCGTATCGTCACGCTTCATACATTTTTGGCAAAATTAAGCTTAACTCAGAGTGAGCATAGTTTTCCATCTAAACGTGAAACTAAAAATTTGCGCTTACTGTTGTAGTTTTGGAAAATTCTTTCAAAAACCTGAAAATCAAATAGAGAGGAGTTAACTCAGTCAATAGCTATGTGCACTTGCATTTGATGACTCACACTTGCTATGCGGTTGTTCAGGACAAACTAAATTAGTTGATTGCAAGTTTGAGTCTGAAACTTTCTGCTGTCATACACACTTCAACCAAATGATATAATATACATTCAGATCTGAAATTGGGCAACACTGGATGTATTATGGCTTATTCCTCCATATATAAATGATTAGTTGAGTTGTACTAATGAAGTATAGTAAAGACAATAGTCATCATAATTATTGGATTACGAAACAAGATGTATGTACTAGCTAGTGGAATGTTTAAAGTAAGTGACGGTACGTTGAAAAAGATGTAGAACCCGTTAGCGTCTTTCGCTCTTAGTCATCAAGAGGTAGCTGACATAATGACTGACTGAGTTTCAGCTTAGAACTTTGTACAGAAGTGCATCATTTCAAGTTACCACATTACATGTAGCACAAAAAAGGAGACAAAAGAGAAAAAGACTCAAAAGAGTATGAGAGAGAAAGAATAGTAACATGTCGGTTTGGTGGATATGGGGGGAGATAACAGTGAGCGAATGCACCTGGGCTAATGAAAACGTTTTCGAGCCATGTCATCAATTGTTTCCAGCTGTTGGTTCTTGGCATCCCGACGACCCCAACCAGTAAGCCTGTTTCCCAACGTGACTCCGGCCTATTGTCAAAGACTTCATGGATTGATTCCAGGTTTTGCTATGACCACCCCTAACCCAGCCAACGTTGCTCGTCGGAGAAGTCGGCGGCTTGGCATGCGCAACACGTGTCTTTGTCATCTTAATCGGTATAGCTTCCCAACCTCATCGATTGGCTTACCCTGCTTATGCAACACTCGACACTTAACGTAGATAGGACTGACCCAATTGTAGCACTTAACACGGGAAACAACGCAAATGTCTGCGGTCAAAGACAACTAGGCTTTTCATATCTCCACTTTCAGTTGGCATGTCTCATAGCCTTAAAGGAGGACAAAGAGAACTCCTGCTCAGTGCCTACTACGTTTAATAGGTAGTTGAATATCACGTCTACCCTAGAGGTGACTGAAGTTGCCAAATGCCACACGAACCGTTTGTACCCGCACTGACATAGGCGGTACTAAATCACAGATTTTACTTTGCTATGTAACATAGATTTATGTGAATTACGTATGTTCATGCATTTTGTAGTATGAGTTGATCTGTTTAAGTATAGAATGATCTTTCGGATAGATTTTTCTTTCCTTTAACGATATCTTGTTTTCTACTAGGCTTGGTGGGACTGAACTTGGCTAGTCACATGCTAACATCTCATCGTCTGCTTATTTGTTAGAAATTGGCTTACACTAGTTTGGCTTTTTAAATACTAAGGGTTTTTTCACCCACATCAACTCTACTAGCAATTTTTTAGATGGCATAGACAGAGGGAAAATCAATCGACGAGGCTGTGAAGCTACATCGACTGAGATGGTTAGGACATGTGTTACGTATCCTTAGTCATCGCCTTCCTCGATGGGAAATGTTAGCTGACATAGGGTCAGGCTGGAAAACAGCTAGTGGCGGTCAAACCAAAACATGGAACCAGTCAATGAAATCTACAACAGTTAGTTTAAGCCAGCCAGCCACGTAGGAAGGTGTAGACTTCCTGACTGGTTGGGGTCCTTGGGACTGTAAAAACCAATGGTTGGAAACAATTGGTGACATGGCTCAAAATCGTTCTCAATGGCTAGCGCAGATACATCCACACCTTGTGACTTATGATTTCCAATGAAACTATATTGTTCTTTGTTATTAGTATTCCTTTGTCTCACACCTCTCTTTACTGTCTCCATTATGCATTTCTTCTCTTGCTTTGTGTGATACAAGGAGTGGAGTGTGCCGACTCGAGCTGTCGGACATCGGTACAAAGTTCTATGTCGAAAACAGATAGACACAGACAGATGACAGAGACAGTAAGAGCTGGGCAATTAAGCCACCTAGTTGAGTAAACGGAACTACATCACAACATATAGTGGCACTTATTCTGAATGTTTATTTCTGTCTGTTGAAAAATAAATAATAATATTTTCCTTAACTTTCCCAGTGGAACATACGTCTTCAAACTAGTGGCTCGAAGTTTCTGTAGCAGTGTTTTTTTTACAGGATGGGGTTGCTAGCCTCATGCTCAACCTTTCCTCTTTACCAGCATTATTTCTGGCTTAGTGAGGTAAAGGAGTTCGTCGGCCGGAGATCGAACCCCGGACCATGTGCATGGTCGGTGAGCATCCTAACCGCTATGCCACCCACGCTGTCTGTTGTGTTGACACTAAATCTGTAAATTAATAATTGATTTATGGTTGTTGTTATTTTGAATTTTCTATAATCATTTCTTTTGAATTCTACTTTACACAGTTGAATGAAATAAATAGCTTGGATCAACGATATCGTGATCTAATCCAAGAGGGTGTACAATTAGCTGAGAAATTGCTCTCAGGCAAATTGACAAAAGCACAATATCAATCATCAAATGATGATTTGAGTTCTAAAAAAGCTGAAATCATCTACAAAGTGGACTCCATCACTGAATGTTTGTAGTTATTCATAATAATAATATACGGAACTTGACAAAGTCCTGGTTTTCTCTTTTTTTTATAAAAATTTTTTTCTCCCGTGTTCATTTTTTCTCTGTTATTTCCTTGCTTGATCAGGCGTTTTTTTGTTGTCATTGCATGCTAAGAAAGTTGGAATGTTTTTTTTGTTTTAAATGAGCTCTTTGTACATCTTTGTGTTTGTGTGTGAGTGAAATAAATATCAAGCATTTGAAAGTAAGGTATTTTTGGTCATTGTTCATATTCCTTTCTCATTAATTACCCAATAACTCAACTAGAAAGTGTCGTCGGATATTATTATTGCTTCCTAGATGATTTAGAGTTGAACGAAATGAAGCCGTCTGTTCTGTCGCTATGAGGATTTAGGTTGAAAAAACCACCAGCAGTAGAAGTACCGCCTACTGCCCATCACTGCATTTTACCACCACCACTCCAGCCATTCATCCTTCTACATGCATGTGAATCAGTCGTTACATACTGTAAATGGCTTTCTTTTTTATTTCACTCATTGTGATGTTTTGAGATCATTTTCATATCACTTACAAAGTCTGCGTATAATTCGTTTTCTTCTCAGAAGATATGTTGTGCAATCTTCCATATTCTGTACTGATGGTCGATGACCTCTTGCCTAATAATCTTGCATGAATTCGTACCCATTAAAGTATATTTGAAATTTGAAGCGTTCAGTGGGATTCATAGGTGCATTTATTTTCCGTTTTCGAAAATGCAGTGGCAGTCCATCAGTGAGACACACACATGATACATTATGGACACCAAGAGATGAGCCACACACACACACACACAATCTCGTAGTTTATGTGAAGGCTAGAATACTGTCTGGATGCCCAGATCGAAGCAGGTGGTTGTCTTTAAGAGGCCACCCCTCTACAAACATTGGAGAAGAATCAGGAGCTACTCTGCTTTGGCTGATAGTGACCGAAATGGGTTCGTATGCCATTTAATCCTTTCTGATTCTGGAGCCCTTGTTTGGAATTAGAGTTTTCTAGCTTCTCTCCCGGTTGTAGGCTCCCTTCCACTTTTGTTTGGAACACCGCCGCTTGGAGGCAGGCAGTTAGACTTATCGGTCAGAAGATGGCCGCGTGGCCATATAAGAACATTGCGAGAGGGAGATCGAAGTCTACTCACCCTCGGTAAGTAATACGTCGTTTATGAGGAGCAGTGTATCTGCACACTATTTAACAAGCACTACAAATTGTGTTCTCATTTCTCAGACTATGAGATGCCATATTTTGCTGAAGCAACCACAACTCATGATATTTAATTGTGTGCGTTTTGTCATCAGGCGCATGGGTTTCAAAATGTGGAGACTGCAAATACCTTCCATCTCCACTCTAAGCAAAAGTATGTACTGTTTTTAATTGTGGTTGCTTTAAATCTCATGATAAGTATTAATTTCTAGTTATCTGTAATGCTAGTTGTTTCTGTGGTATCAGTCTACTCACGTTCCACTTTGATGTGTAGAATAAAGTCAATCTAGTACAGGGGGGTATGGCTGTGCAAAAATCCAAAGTTCTTTTATTTGATTAAATGTATTTTAGTGTGTACGCACGTTTCACGTTTTCTTTTGAGCAAGTCAGACAGTTATCTTTTTCAGCCTGTTCTTAATCACTTGCAATTTATCCGCTTAATTTGTATTCCGTCAACATTTTCAAGTGATGCTTATTATGCAACACCCAGTTCACCTTTTTTCCTTCCTGCAACGTATCCTTGGCTGGTTAGCTGACAGAACCCTTTGTTGCTAATTCCTTCTGGCTGGCCATCTGACTTTCATTATCGAGCGAAAGGGGGCGGGGGGTAGGCGCTGATGAAAGTCTACAGCCTGTTAAAAATACCTGTGGTGACACGTATTAGTTCTTTGAACCAAATAAAAGCACTGACCCAACACGTGTGTTAAAAAATTTGAGTCTTTTTTACGTGTTAATTACTGTGTATCACCACACTGATTACAGAATGGTGGGCTCCTGTGTTGCTTTCTAGACCCCAGCTGGCTTTGCTATTGTAGCTGGAAAGATGCTTCTTAATTAAGTGAAATAGATGACTTTAGATCTCCTTTATTAATGGCGATTGGTATTCATTATTGGTCAGACATCTCCGCACCTTTACTCTTATGTTCACCTGAAGTCTTGTCTTGGTTGATTCTTCCTCTAACTTGTTGGTTTTCGTTTGTGAATTTTCGAGTTTGTGCGATATGAAGTATAAATCATCTGTGAAATTCAGATATTCTTGGGTCTCTTTGTCTGTCCAAAGTATACCCTTCTCATTTCCCTTGGTTCACTGTATGCCCCAGTACCCCACTATCAGGAATATCATCTTTGATAGTGGACGGCCTTGTCTTAATCCTGTCTTCACTCCAAACGCTTCGGTGAGTGTTCCGTTGTGAATCATTTGACATGCATCAAAGCTGTTGAATGAGTTTTATAGAGGTTTTTGGCCGTGCGCACTGCAGTGTTGAAGCAGTTCCTAGATTACTTCACAGTTGACACTTTGGAAGATGCCCTCAAAGTAGATGGGGTTGAGATACATGGTACTTTGAAAATGATGCATAGGGTTGCTATTCGCTCTGCGTATGACTTATTTTTCTTGAATCCAATCCCATAAAAAGCAGCTTTCCATTGTAATGCAGTTTAGTATTTTCTTTTGGGTGGTTGGAAGCCTGATGATGCTGCAATTTGTGCATAAGTCCAAGATACTCTCTTTTGTAGATTATCAGCTTGACCTTCTGACTGGTAGGCCCTTCCAATACCTTTTGAAGTATTAGCCCGAGATTGTCTGCTGAGGTCTTTAGAGCCCTTTTAAGTGCTTATGAAGATTTCATCCGTCGCAGGTGCTTTGTCGTCGTATGTTAACGTACTTGTTATATGTCTGTAAAGCGAGGATTGCCATAAAACTTTTGGTAGCATTATCTGCCGACCTTTGCAATGATAGGGCAAGACATCCTCTTCAAGTCTGAGATTGACATGAAGTCTGATTTTTCTCGTGTCCATCTGGTAAAACGGCGTCGCGTTGGGGATATCCTTATGGCTCGTACATGCTACTTTTAGTCACTAAATCACTAATGGCACAAACCTCTGCAAAGAGCTCCTATGTCATTCATTTCACTGAGCTCCTCTCAGGTCCCGATGAGTTATCTCCCTTTTTTTATTCTTCCAGGCTTGTATTCACACCACACATTATGATTCTGATGTCTCCATTTGAGGTCTTGTACATTATTGTTTGCAGTCTTCCGTAGAAATCTTCCTTCTTTTCCTGTTTCCAGTGGCTTGCAGGAGCGAAGCATTCGATAAGTGTAACTTTCCTACCTTTTAAGTTGAATCTAGCTTTCATGGTCCTGGGGGTGATTTGTTCCCACTGCATACGAGCCACTGATGTTGTTGGTGACGTCATGAAAGCCATTCCCTCAGTGTGTTCGTCGTTGTCATCTTGGTGACCAAAGTAGATAATTAACTCTGTAGTCAGCAGCTTGAGGAGTCCATTTCCATTCTATCTGCTCTCACAAATTTCTGTAACTTCCGTATTATCTTTTTTCTTTCTATCTTAGAAGCTCTATCATCCTGAAAAGTGGTGTGGAAAATTAATGTCTCTATGTTTACTTATGCTTTCATTGAAAGGAGACTTATCGGCTGACGACTGGCTTCCCCTTAAGCTCTCATAGGCTGTCGTCCATGAATTGAGAAGTTTCGTTTTTCTATGCTCAGAAATTTCTCCACAGATGTGAAATTTTTGTTACTGGGTTGGGTTTCTAATCCTATACTCAGCTTTTCCTATTTTCTTGGCTACGTTTAACTATGAGTTGTTATAGCGTGGAAAGTCCTTCCTAAGAATTTGTGATTGATATTTTTGTTGTCAATAATAAAATGAGTCTTACCTAACTGTGTGTCAAAGGCTTTCATAAAATAGACCGATATCAGTTCATGATGAAATCCTAAAACCGCTCGAATCCCTGCAAACCAACACTTAAATAGACTATATATCACTATCAAGGCCCTGTCTTACCAAATGCCGGATAAAGCATGCGAAGTTTCAGTGGCCGGAGTGCTTGACTTTCTGTGCCTAGTCATAGCATAGCATTAAGACAATGTTGACAGTTTTGCCAGCTGGATTTCTTTTAACAATAAACAGTACCTTTTGGCATAATTGTTTCGAGTTATATGTTGAGGCGTATGTTCTTTTTCTCCATAAATCCCATCTGTCTGTCCGTTTTCGACATAGAACTTTGTACCGATGTCCGACAGCTCGAGTCGCCACACTCCACTCCTTGTATCACACAAAGCAAGAGAAGAAATGCATAATGGAGACAGTAAAGAGAGGTGTGAGACAAAGGAATACTAATAACAAAGAACAATATAGTTTTATTGGAAATCATAAGTCACAGGGAGTGGATGTATCTGCGCTAGCCATTGAGAACGATTTTGAGCCATGTCACCAATTGTTTCCAACCATTGGTTTTTACAGTCCCGAGGACCCCAACCAATCAGGAAGTCTACACCTTCCTACGTGGCTGGCTGGCTTAAACTAACTGTTGTAGATTTCATTGACTGGTTCCATGTTTTGGTTTGACCGCCACTAGCTGTTTTCCAGCCTGACCCTATGTCAGCTAACATTTCCCATCGAGGAAGGCGATGACTAAGGATACGTAACACATGTCCTAACCATCTCAGTCGATGTAGCTTCACAGCCTCGTCGATCGATTTCCCCTGCTTACCTAGCACTCGACGCCTAACCTTAATGTTGCTCACCTTATTATACCACTTCACACGGGAGATAGAACGCATCAGATTTAGATGACTTCCAGGGTTTCTTATGGTTAACTGCTGCTTTACATCAAACAGTATTACAACACTATGCATCAAACCTTGATATGTAATGAGGACATTTAAATGAATATTTTTATTTTAGAAATATCGATTTCAACGATTAGGCAAATATAAAAGTCGATAAAAATGGATTAAATCTGCCGACATTAGCAACAGTTATCTTTCAAGTGATTGGAAAGTTTGTGAAAATTCAACGATACATGTATGAAATGTTACATTCTCGCCATGCACCAACAACAGTTGGAGATATCATCAAAAGCCAGGGAGTGTTTGACAGCTGTTTCTTCCTATTTCGGGACTCTTCACGGTGCACACCCACGACCCCGCCAGGTATTGAATCCAGGACCTACAGGTTACGAGTCCAAGCTCTTAGACCATTATCCATTCGAGCTAGAATTCACTGACTCTTAAGTTCTTACTTTGTAAACTCGTGATATGTCGCTACTCTCACCAGTGCCCTAGATGAGCATTCACTTCACCATGACATGGTGGATCCCACTGGTCACGACTTCCTATTGCAGCTCCAGGAAATCCATTCAGTAGCCATCAGTTAGCTGGTGACTACCACTAAGGTTATAGGATTTGGATGGAAAATGGGTCAGTGGGCTTAACCTCGAAACCCTAAAGGTCCCTGGTTCTATCCTTGATGCAGGTGTGAGTGTGCTGCACT